AAACAGGTGATTTGGTTGAATCTTTACCAGATTATTTCCTGTTTAAGGAACTTTTTTATACAAGTGTGTATTATGTTTTTTTTTTTTATTATTTTTGACAATTATCAGACTTATTAGGCTTTTTTTTTTTTTGACAAATTCAGTGTTTTCTTATACCTGATGGTTGACCATTGTTTTGGCAATTTACTACATAATGTGAACAAAATGCTGACATATAGGACTACTGTATTTTATTTTTTTTTTCTAGCACCTCTTAAAATCAAGAAGGCCTTGCGACCCCTCAGGAAGCTTTGGCGACCCCCAGGTTGGGAACCACTGAACTAGAGGAAACACACAGACTCAGAACCATGAGCTTCTAGCTGTTAGCCAACAATGCTAACTACTGAATCTGTGTGGTATTTTAGTTAAAGGAAGTAAAAAGAAAGAAATGTGCCCCAACCAACACTGTAATCCAATTATGTTGAAACTGATCACTACGCAAATTGTAAGTAACGCAAACTACATTTTTTAAGTTCAAAACTATTCATGTTTTCATTAAGTCACTGTCACTTAAAATTACTAAGCTACATGATAAGGTTTTTGTTTTGTTTTACTTTTGATGTAATCAGTTTCAAAAATGTTTTGACTTAAATGAACTTTTCTGGTTTTACAGTGATGAGTTATTTTCACAAAAAAAAGCTAAAACTGATCACATCAAAAATTTTAAGTAACTCATTTTTTTTAGTTCAAAAACATTCATGATTAAGCTGCTTTACTACAACTTAGTTTTCCTGAATAAGTCATTTTTAGAGACAGAGAGAGAGATATTTGGGTTTCACAGTGCAGAATTAAGACAAGCACTAAAATTACTGAAGCTACTTGATCAACTTTTAACTTACAAAAATGATGTTGTTACTTAAGAAATTTTAACGTAATCAGTTTCAACAATTTTGTTAGTTAAATGAACTTATGTGGTTTTACGGTGAATCTTTCTTTTAAATGTCTCTTAAACCTAGCCAAAATCTGACCTAATAAATACCAAATTCATACTTTTTGTCTCAATTCTGAGATCAGTTCTTCGCCACAGTTTCTGGTGTACGTTACCTTTCCATCGTACTACACTGTAACTGTCAAGCTACTGGAGGACTCTGTCATTGTGTGCACTGATAACTGTGGGTATTCATTAGTTATCCACTGTTGATGCCAAACTCCTTCACTCAACATTCCTTTGTTGTTGCTTAACCGCTATCAGCTGGTCCATGGGCTCACATGAGCTGGTAGTGTGTGTCACACAGAAACCCATCTTTATATTCCAACATCTGTTTCCCTGGGTAATAAAGCATGTGACAGGAATGGATGAATCAATCAGTCAGAGACATACACATGCAGCAGCTCATGCCAGCCACCCCATACAAACACAAACACACATACACAAACACACACAATGAGCCAGTGATGCATGAGGCAGATGCATAGTACACCTGGCAACAGGCTTACAACAAAATGGAAGTGATACAAAGGGAAGGAGAAAGAGATACAAAAAGTGTGTGTGTGGGGGGGAGAGGGTGTCATCGCATCATTTATCTACAACTGTTAACAGAAAAAAGGAAAAAGAAGAGACTGGAAAAACAAACAACACACACATGCACAGACCCAGGCAGGAAACTGTAGCGTAACATGTTGCTCCCAGCTGATATTATTGTACTCTGCAGAATGTGGATCAATAGGTCTTTCCAGAGGAAAGAGGAAGTAGCAATAATCACGTATTTTCCCATCCAGTGATCTGCCAGTCAGCTATTATGTGTAACTGCAGCTTCTTTCCACCTGCTGTTGTAAATAACAGGGAGCTATGACCGCGTCCAACACCACTGCAAAGACCAAGTAATCGACCAAACTCCTTACGTGATAAGTACACAGACGCCAAAATTATCCATGTGTCTACGGTGGACTGCTGGAAAAGTTCTAAAGTGGAAAGAGGTTTTCTGAATCCCGGTAAGATTTATTGAGAATATACAATAACAATGTACTGTTTTGAAATGCCATAAAGGAGAAAATAACAATGGGAGCCTGTGTTTATATAAAGTCTTCAAGTATAGGTCGGTAAAAAAAACAAAACACTAAAACATATTAGTGAAAGCTCTGTCTTCTTTGTTTGGATTATCACTCGACAGAGTGTACTCAGAGTACTTAGAGCATGGAGCTAACAATCAGCCATGAATTTGCAGTCTATGCTCTCAGCAGTTAGAGCTACAATCCACGATTCAAATACAAATGAAGCTCCACAACCAACATTTCAAACAGAATTAGAACATGATACCACTCCCAAAGTGACTGACAGGTCTTTTAACACATGAACTAATCCTGAAAAACAACAATCAAAGTTATTCATGTTTTTGATGCTGAGAACCGAAACTACACACAGTCTGTGATCATCCCTGCAGTTTATATGCAGGAAACAATTATTGATTGGGCATTTAAAGCTATAAATCAGAGGATATGAAAACAGCAGAACAGGTTATAATGTGAAGGTTTTAGGGATATTTTGGAGGAGAAGCTGATTCTGAATAAGATGGTAATTGTGGCACTGTAACAGCCCCCTCATGGGATGCTAAGCACCACTTGAGACAGGCTGACTCTTGAGAACTATGTACTGTCTGCGGAGACTGTAAAAGTGGGTTCCAGTGGAAATAAAGCAACAGAACCAACTGTACTTTTTGGCTTAATTAAAAGACTACAAACAATTATACTGATGCAACACCTCACCCGTATTGATAGATGTATCATTTCAAGTTAACGTATTGCTCTTTTCCATACAAATGTGTGTGTCAGAGCAGTGTGGCAGGGCATGCATGTCCAATCCAACAGGGCTCCCCACTTGAAGGTGTGTTTTTAACTGATGACATGCTTGCTGTGAGTCCATGACGTATAAAAGCAGCGCCCTCTTTATTGCTGTTTTCTATTGCACTGTGCAACGTTTGGTGGTAGCCAGCATTTGTCATCATGGATTTTCAGGCTGTTGTCATGATTTTGCTTGGCATCTGAAACTACTGAAGTATGTTATTAGGGCTGCAAATAATTATAATTTTCATTATCGACTAATCTGTCAATCAGTTTCTCAATTAATCGATCAGTTGTTTGGTCCATAAAATGTAAAAATATGTTGAAAAATGTTCCCGGAGCCCAAGGTGATGTCCTCAAATGTCTTGTTTTGTCCACAACCCAAAGATATTCAGTTTACTGTCATAGAGGACTAAAGAAAGCAGAAAATATTCACGTTTGAGAAATTCTTTCAAACTTAAAATGATTATTCAATTATCAAAAGAGTTGCTGATTCATTTAATAGTTGACAACTAATTGATGAATCGACTTATCGTTGCAGCTCTCTCTGCTATGTCTGGCAATAGCGGTGGATGCCATTTAAACATGTCGCTGCGTCGCCATTGAACGATGACGAAGCCCGTCTGATGTCACTGCAACCCGTTTGGAGGCGGGTCGGGGTGCATTTTGAGATGGTCCATCTCGGGTGTGACTCAGCTATTTAAACCGGTAATTGAAACGCAAATCAACGCGGCATGGTTTGACTCTGCGCAGCCAAAAATGGAAAAGCCCCGACAGACTTAACTTCACATACAACAGAGCTTAGCAAATGTGTACCCTTCGGCAGCGAGACCCACCAAACGCCAAAGATCTGCTCCTGTTCAGTTAAAGGCTGGCAGCGAAAGGGCTCCAGAGCCAAACTGAGCTGTCAATGCCACCAGCTGTCTGTCATGGATGTACCCCATCACGGCTGTGTGCGCATGTGTTTGTGCATTTGTTTGTGTCTCTCCAGTTCCATGGAACATTGCGTTGCTGCTTTGTATATGATACGAAACAATCATTGAACACTACGCATATGTATAGACCCAGCTGTGCATACAAATTATGTAGACGCGCACACTCAGTGACTATGATGCAATAACTTATCTGATGTGACCCTTTTGATGGACAGCCACATAGTAATGTGAGGGCCACCGGTAATGTGAACGAGCTCACACACTGCACAAATTGGAAGCTGGTCCTATTGATTGTGCGGGAGCTGGTGTCCCTCACAGAGGACTGGATTATGCAGATAGAACTAAACCACATTTTCATCCTGCTGTATTCCTCCGCCTGCCTTTCTCTTTCTTCAGGTCAACACCGAATCACTCGGAAGGCAAAACAGTGAGACTTACTGGCTTCTTTTGTTCGCTAACTCTTGATCTATATGCACTTATTGCAACTACCAACCACAACCTACACCTGCATCCATCGTTCAAGCACAGACAAAAGAACACATATTTGATTCAACCTACATATCGTGCTTAAATGTTCTCTACATGTGCAGAACAGAGAGCGAGGGTCCAGTCTCAGTGGTGCGACACACAGGTATAGCCTTATTTTTGTTCACCCATTGATTGCTCCCACAGCATGAAGGACATTCTGGCACTGACTTCCCCCGGCTGCATTTTCAGATCCGTGCAGAAGCGAAACACTTTATGCACCCGGTCAAGATGTACAGAGCATTCTGTAAAAAATGACTCACCGAATTTAACACATGCCAACACAACACAGGCGTGATAATGTTAATGCTGTCAGCGTGGCACATATGGTCCCCAAAGTGCTCTTTGAAAACAGGAGACCATGGTCCCGGGTTCTGTTGGCTCTAAAGTGTCACTGAAGACAGTGAAGCCCCCTAACTGCTCAATAAGACAGCTCAGTATAATTGAAACCTCGACTTGACTCATTTGTAGTGCTAAATAAGTGTAACGCACCTACACTGGCAGGGTTATGGGTCAGATCCCCCTTCCTGGTGAGACACCTTTGTTAATAGAGCAGTACAATAATGTCCATGACTTCCTCTCTCATCACTTATTGCTTCTCTTGGTTACTAATTAAAGCAAAGCACAGGAATAGCTGACACACTTTGACTAACACTTGTACACATTAACATGATGGCACAAAGAGACCATGTACACATTTTTAAAAAAATGTCCTCCACTTACCCTGTACTGTTTGGAAGAAGAATAAGCTCCTTACAGCTGTGAAACAAACGCCGGTTCTTCGCTTTGCGGCTATTCTCACGGCAGTGTTTTGGTCCAAAACAGTTCCTCCCTCATGTAAAATAACCTTCGCGTTAACTCACCTCTCTCTCTGGAAGAAGATGAATGAACCGCTGCGTCTCCCTTGCCAACACATTTGCATAAAGGCCGCCTCCCCCGCGCGGCCATTAGCTCGGACGCTGTTTGAAGGTGGATCCTTTTCACCTGATTGGACGGAGCGGCTTGTCAATTATAAAAAAAAAAAATGAAAAAAATAAATAAAAAAACCACTGTGACCGCGCGCGCGACTGTGCCCTCGCGTCCTCTCTGTAGCGCCGCCGACCGCGCGAGAGAGAGAGGGAGGGAAGGTGGCATTATTGTAAAGCTGTAAGAGCAGGCAAACAGGAGATATATATGATAACTGTGAAATATAAGAGTCATTTCCCTCGTTTCCAGTTGCCTCTCGTTATAATACACATCAGTAGAAGACCGGTAGTTTACTGGAGTTAAGTACAGCCTCTGGCTACTGGGCTTTTATATGGTGACCGTTTGGGTTACAGGACAGAACTGGCCATGAAATTAACTTCATTAACCCGCAGGGAAACAAACATCTGTTTTCCCATTACAGTGGTGCTATCACCGAAAAATTGTTTGTAGCAAGAGCTCTGAAGTGCAGCATGCATGGCCGGATTTTGCATATTGCACAATGCAGGTCTTAGAGGGACCCGCTTTGTGACAGGTCCTCATGTTTAGATAGTAAAATAAACTAATCTATTTTAAAGTCCCCCTCCATTCAAAAATGTGTTTTGTTTTTTGTGATGTGTGAAGAATCAATGTTGTATTTGTTGACCTGGGAATGAGCTTGAACCTGATTTTTTTCACAGATTATCTGTATCATGTTCTACTGCCAGGACGTAGTGAAAGTTCCAGCGAGTATGACAAAAGGTTATTTTTATAAAAGTTACTGCAGCTTTAAGTCAATGACAATGGGAAATATTGTGATTCTGGCAAAAAGAAATAAACTATGGTTAATGTACACCTGTCAGAGCTCATAAAGTTATGGCTGATCGGTGTATGTATATAAGTCAAATTGACACAAACTCACTTTATCCTGTCTTGCAAAGAAAACAGTGAAGTCAGACAAACCTACTGTGGCTCCATATTTCATCTATTAACTGCGAGAGAAAAGCTCCAGGTGTTACTGTGTGACAAAGAACACTCTCTACTTCATCTCTTAATGGCACAAATGTCATTTTAAAGGAGAAATTGTGGCTGCAGAGAACTATTTTGCACCTTTTGTCTCATCATATGACAGCAGAGCCTCCAATGATGTCCTACGTGGTTACATAATGATTTCAGCTGTAGTGCATTATTGATCCCTTTTGTGCTGACATGGTTTTACACTATACTGTTATTTACAAAATCCATTGACTGTAGCAGCCATTATCTAAATGTATATAAGATCTCTATTATAACAATAAAGCAGATTTAATTAGCTACATTTAACAGAACTCAGAATAACAAGTAACCCAGCCCTGTTCTTTAACTTGTGCTCACATTTCAGCTACAATGTGTGTATGACAACTCAGTTAATGTGTACATGACAGCTGACATAATTTCAGCTGGTTATAACTTCCCTGTTGCAAATGTATTGTATGTGTCTGGGTGCGTGAGGGAGGAGCATGTACAGTATATTGATGATTTTATTGTACTGTATTGTATTCTTTTGGTACCATTTGTTCTCATAAACAGCACTGTGATAACAATTGTTCTTATTTCACAATTCACACTTTTTAATCAAACAGACAAACAAGAAATCCTGCCTTGTGATAGTATGCAGCTGTCAGACAGAAGTAAATGTGTTAGTGTGTGTGTGTGTGTGTGTGTGTGTGTGTGTGTGTGTGTGTGTGTGTGTGTGTGTGTGTGTTTTCCCTTATTCTAGAGCCTGAATACAAGTTCTGGGGGTGTGAAGAAATAGCAGAAAATGACAGTAAACAGACAGAGTATAACAGAAAGGAGGAGAAATGTGTTACAGTCTGATTAGTCAAGGTCAGCTGGGGCCTCTCGTTGGGACTGACATAATCTCTTACACAAGGTAAACGTCCATCATCCTGCAGGACCCCTGCAACACACACTTATTGGATGCTACAGTGTGTGTGTGTGTGTGTGTGTGTGTGTGTGTGTGTGTGTGTGTGTGTGTGTGTGTGTCCTTCAATCCAAGGTAGGCATCATTAACTCTGATAGCCACATAAAACAGACTGAATGTATAGAACTAAACAGCGATATGGGAGGCAAATGGCTGGAATCATGGAGGATCCAATGTGCAGGACTTATTCTACCATTTTAAAGGAATAGTTTGACAGTTTGAGAAATATGCTTATTGGCTTTCTCGCCGAGTTAGATGACATCCCCCGCACGTCTGAGAGTAAATATGAAGCTAGCTGACGTGGTTTGTTTTTTCCTGATGCTAAGCTAGAACAGATCATCAGGTCTGAGGGTGGTCTTAGCCACATGCTGAGGGAACTGCTGAATCCATCATCAGCTGCCAACAACAGCAATTTTGGCATGAAATAGTAGGGTTATCACCATAGACTGTATAAGTGAAAATGGATGTAGTTTCCGTGATGTCACCTGTAGGTTTCTGAAGAGATGTTGTAAAGCTCAATGTGGTTGGCTCTGGCCGTCGCCATCTTTGCCGACTCCACTGGCTGCCGATTAATCCAAAAAATGGGCAGAGACGTGGAACATGGGTGGTGTTGAGGTGGGCCAAAGGAAGAATGCTTACTGAAAACAGCTCCCACCTGTCACTCAAAGCAGCCACACTCTTATTGATGCATCATTTTAAGCCTTAATATAATTTAAACAGGTGAGTTGGATAAAAATTCACCCCACGTACAGGTGATAAGAATTGGGGAATCTGCTATAGAGAATAAAACATTTTTTTGTACCAGGCTGTAAACGTTATGTAAATGTTTATTTCTGCTGTAAATTTGGGCACTTTAATATGGGGCCTTATGTAGATGGACTCGGTTCTGTAGCCAACCTCAAGTGGTCATTCAAGGAACAGCAGTTTTTGGAGCTTAATTTCTCGGCCACGGAGGTTGCCGCTTCATGACACTAATTAAGGTTCTGTTCCATTTAGTGTAGCAGAGCCTTTTCCATGAGCCAACATGCACAATAGCAGCACCCTGACTCTGTTTTACCAGAATAGAACAGAAAAATGGATGAAAGGGGCTGGCCAAAAAGGTCTATCTTGGGTGTTCTGTTTAATGCATACGAAACCAAAGTGTAAAAATGAAATGGCTGTGATCTACAGGGGGTTATGGTAAGGTCTTTTCTTACTTTAGACAGAGGCAGGATAGCTGTTAACCTTTTTCCAGTCTTTGTCCAACGTTAGGCTCCCTGTCTCGTCGTTGTAGCTTCATATTTACTGTATCGACACAAGAGTGGTATCAACTTTCTCATATAACTCAGTGCAAAACCGAGTGAGTCTATTTCCCAAAATGTCGATCTATTCCTTTAAGTATCAAAATCTTCTCCTCCTTTCTCCAATTTGTCTTCCTGTCTCTCCCCTTCTCCCCCCTCTAATTCAAATATGTATTATTGAAACCACATTAATTGATATAAAATGAATCTCTCGCCCTCTAATTGAAATATGCTTTATTGAAAATGGCATGAATATAGTATGAACCTCTCTCCCTTTTACTTCTATGAATATTCATGGGCGTGTGCATGTGTGTGTTCAACGGCAACAGAGGGTTGCCACGGGAGACAACCCATCGAGCCTGTCCTCACCCTCTCATCCCTCTCTTCCCTCTTTCATCTCTCCTGTCCTCTGTCATCATCCGACCATTCATCTCCACACTTTGGCACTGTTCGCTGTTGTACTTTCCTCGACTCCTCTTTTGACTACTTATTCCTTTGACGCTGCAGTTTTTTGCCGTTTTTGTGCCACTTCATATCACATTTAAAAGGACTTTCCAAAAAAATAAAAAAATCTACCGCTGGCAATGATTGGAATTATCACCTCACAGGCTGATTTTTGTATCACAAGCACAAGATATATTATAATATGGATATTTTGCCTGTTATAATAATAAGGCAGACCTGAAACATACAGTATATGTGGATCACAGCACGAAACTGTGATTTCAGGCCTATTCCCTCAGTGTGAGGTGATACAATCTATTCATGCTAATTGATGGGCAAGTTGGCAGCCCGATAATGAAATTCAAACCTCCATTCATGCCTCAGTGTGCGTCTGTGGTGTGTAATTCTGTGCGACGGCGGCCTGTAAACTGTCTAATTGACCTTTCCACGCTCCACAGAGGACAGGTCCTTCGTCCGCCTCCTTCCGGCTACTATTCCCTCCCTTCTCCTCTTTCCCCTCCTTTTCCATTCTCCCCTTGACACTTCCGCTCCTCCTGTCCTCTAGTTTCTCCCCTCCATTTTTAACCTTCTTCACCATCCATTCATTCCGTTGTTGATACATAGATACTGAAATTGCTGATCTGATCTTAAGTTTATAAATGTTGCTGCTGTTACTGTATGGGCAAGTGTATGTCTTTTTAAAGACGCCTTTTTTGCTTATGAGCGGCACCAAAGTCTGTAATTTTCAATCCTCACATTGTAAATTTTATCCTGAAAGTTGATGAGTTTTCCAGACTGGATACTACAATTACAGACATATAATCAGCCAACATGGACTCTTTAAAATAGTTACACTACTCTTATAACAGAGGACATCAATGGAATGGATACAAGGAAATTGTGGTCGCTATTGTTATTAGCTTGGCTATTTGCTATTTTATGCAGGATGCCCCGTGCTGGTTGAGTGGCGATTCCAGTGACATTTCCCTCTGACCAATCAGTGGACTGCAGTGTTTTCACGTCACCTTTTAGTATCAGCTCAGCACGCTTGAAACCTTGGCTGAGGCGATACTAAAAAAAGGTAGCAGGTACTATCAACAACTTTTGCCAATGGAAAACCAAAAAACAATGCTTTTGGGGTGCCTGGATAGCTCACCTGGTAGAACCGGCACCCTATGTGCCAAGGGTTGGTCCTTGCTGCAGCGGCGATGGGTTTGAATCTGACCTGTGGGACTTTGCTGCGCGTCATTTTTA